TAAAATGTTAAGTTCACCCATAATCTAAAGGAAATGTTCTGAATGTGGTCAAAGAAAAAATGTTGCTATAGCCCTCTTTCTGGAATAACTCTGACACAAGTGCACCCAAAGTAAATCCCTCATTACACAACACAAACGAGACGTGGACACAACATATAAAACATGTAAAAAAGGAGAAAAAGAGAAAGAGAACATGAACATATAAACATGATGTAAACTGTAAAGTAGGTCTGTGATCATATTGGATATAGGGCAGTCAGGGGGAGCAGCAGCCCAGCACTATAACATAATATTCATTGTAGCTTGGGTAAAATAACTTGGTGAAGCTGAGGCATCATACATAACATGTTATAGTATGAAGGTCTTGTATTTTAACTTTCAAGCCTTCCATATAGCCTACAGAATAACATTAGGTACCACCATGCCCACAAAATACAATTTTGACTGAACATAGTGCAAAAATTGGGTTATTTATGAACTCAGATATGCCTATTGCCATAATCTCTCTCTCAAATTAAATCGAAGGCAACTGGACTTGTATTTGTCTGTGGAAGACGTTTCGCCTCTTATCCAAGCAGCTTCATCAGTTCATCATGTATTGGTCTCTCCCTTCCGCACTAGTCCGCATCAGGTTGCTTTTCTGATTGTGTGGTGTTTTGTGACAAAACACCACACAATCAGAAAAGCAACCTGATATATGCGGTCAAATGCAGTGAGGATTGCAATGACCTATATATTGGGGAAACTAAACAACCTTTAAACAAACGTATGGCCCAACACAGAAGGGCAAACTCTTCAGGCCCTGTCTCAGCTGTCTACTCCCACCTAAAGGAAAAGGCACACTCCTTTGAAGACAGCAATGTCAAAATCTTGAACAGGGAGGACAGATGGTTTGAAAGGGGAGTCAAGGAAGCCATCTATGTAAAAGTGGAGAGGCCATCGCTAAACAGGGGAGGGGGTCTGCGACACCATCTATCCCCCATCTACAATGTCGCCCTTTCATCGGTACCCAGGAGAGTCAACAACATAACCTCAGACGACTCTCAACGATCGTCATCCACCAGGGGCTCACCTGACCCTAACGACTGTCGTTCACAGGGGACAACAACAGGGTCACCTGACCCCTAACGACGGTCGTCCACATGAGACCACAACAATGGTCAGGTGAAACCAGTACTTTCACAGGTACTTTGGTGGACCCACCCACAAGAGGTTAAATACCTGGGTCCTACTCCATTTTCTTGGTCAGACTAGTGCGGACTAGAGAGACCAATACATGATGAACTGATGAAGCCGCTTGGATAAGAGGCGAAACGTCTTCCACAGACAAATACAAGTCCAGTTGCCTTCGATTTAATTTGAGAGAGAGATAACTATGACCTGGACGAATGAGAACATTCACAGACTATTGCCATAATAAAACAAAAATAATAACCCATAAACATAGTTATATCAGGCTCATTGGCAACTTACCAACTGAAGAGCATCAGGTGGCTAGTAAAGCGGTGACTTAATGTCAGTCCTCAGTGTCCGGTGACAGCAGGATGTCTGTCCTGTGAAGTAGTGTGAGAAAAACAAAGCAACAGCCCACACGTACCAAGTCTTAAATTCGACAGGGAGTCGGTCCACTAGGCGTCAAACAAGGACAGAGTTCTGCCGCAGAAATGGCCGATGTGAATCTGAGGTCAAGGCGAGGAAGCGCTGTCATCCCGCGCTGAAGTCTCCGGGCATGGAGCCGGCACTGACGCCAGAAAATCCTCCGCCTCTTTGGGTGAGGTGAAGGCTTTGTACTGAGCACCGTCTTTAACTTTTAGAGTGGCCAGATAAAGTAAAAAGAAGTCCAGACCTTTAGCTCGAGCTGCATCCATAGCCTGGTGAAAACCTTGGCGTCGTTTGACGGTGAAGTTGCTGAAATCTGGAGAAAGGCGAATCCTCCGACCTTCAATGGAGAGGTCTTTCCTGGCAGCACGCAGAATGGCCTGGCGGGTCAAGTAGCGAAGCAAAGCGAAAATCAGGGTGCGGCTAGCTCCTCAGTTGCGGGCGTTGTTGTTGTAAATTCGGTGCGCTCTCATAATCTCAATCTGGATGTCACCGAGAGTGGGGAACCATTTAGGTAGAGAGTGTGAAAGAAACTGAGTAGCATTGGACCCGTCAAGCCCCTCTTCAAGGCCAGTGACGCGGATATTACACCTTCTGTTCCTGTCCTCCATGTCAGCTAGCTTGAGCTCCATAGCCTGAAGAGCCTGTTCATGTCTGTTCAATGTACTGGAGTTGCTTACAACGGTGGTTTTCAGTGTATTTACGTCGGATCTCATGGTGCCAAGGCCGGCCGCCAGCGTGGCTAGCTCAGCCTGGATAGCACTTAGCTTCTCGTCGTTGTCTTTCCCCACCTGTTGAATCTGGGAGAGGCGTGGTTCAAGATAGTCACGCTACTTCTGCAATACGGACTCGGCAATGGCGTCAATATCTTGACGGGTGCTTTTGGCTTTTGTAGACATCGTTGTTATCTATCTTTAGACAACACAATAGGCCAGTATGAAAACCTGTAGCTCCGAAAAAATCAACAATTTGGCGATGCTGGGCCGGGAGCTGAAAGCCTAGGCTGCCATCCTGTCCAGCCGATCACGTGACTCCAAAATAAGTACTTTGTTAAAACTGAAATAAATGGATTGGTATATCCAACTGCAAGTTGTTTTGACTTTGGACAGTATTTTTTGGGACCAACAAGGATAAAGGATCCTTGTTGCAAGGAAACAAGCCATCTACACCGGAACCATTAACAACTAAAACAGACAGTGCGTCAGCATTAAGCCTTTGCTCAATTTGCAGAGAGCTGGAATGAGCCAGACACATGAAAATTGGTATCATAAGTCCAAATGGTGTGTAAATGCTTCGCCAAAAATATTGTCACATTCGGCAATATGGTGGCGCTATAATTAAAAGTAAAAATTAAATAAATTTAATAAATTTAATAAAAAAATTCGAAAGGCTGTCCCCACCCATCGTCTTCAAATTTACCTCTCAGCTATGGGTCAATATTTTCTATAAAAAGCCTCTGTGATAATAGCGACTTCCATCATGGCTTTTGAGCTAATAGGTCTGATCAGCCTTTGTTGGCTGAGAAGTGTGGAAGTGTGATGTTCACAACCTGTAGCTACAACCTCAAAATGAGAAGAGCTTTTTGTTCATACAACCACTTTCCCATCAAGTGGTGTCCCCACTGAACCTGAAGCATTCATTGAACAGCTGTGGCCTTCTGTCCTTCCTCAACTACTGATGGACGGTGAAGGTCAGATGGCTGATGGTCAGAAGAGTCACCACTCTGTTTGTCCATGGTGGAATTCCAAACACACACAGGCAATCATACAGTGGTGTCTTTTCATCACAAACAATCTTTGTCAGGATACAGACACCAGCTGCAGAGACCACACTAAGAGAACACACAAACCTGAGAACACACTAACCTGAGAACACACCAACCTGTCATTTTAGTTGTTACTGAATTAAAGTCAGACTATGTCATTTTTGCTGAACAGTGGCAGCAGCACCTGAAGCCACGTGAGCGGTGAAAAGAAGCAGGGTGAACAGCTCACATAGAGAGAGCAAAGCCTGTCGATAACTCGTGAACAAACATAAAATCATCTCAATACAAACCAGCAATTGCACAGTCCACATATGACCAGTCAGCATACGGCTACGAAGGATGAAAAATGACAAGTATAAAATTATAAATAATTAAATAAATAAATGCTGAAATAAATACATTTCTACATTTATTTATTTCTGTATTTCTACATTTATCTATGCATTCACAATGCATATGCACAATGAAATCAGACTGGAAACATGATGCAGATGGGGCAGAGGTAAAGCAGGTCGTCCACTAATTAGAAAGTCGGTGGTTTGATCCCGGCTTCTCGAGGCCGGCTCCAAGATACTGAACCCCACATTGCCCCTGATGGCTGTTTCATCAGTGTATGAGTGTGGTGAGTGAATGGGTGAATTTGGCAAGTACAGTAAAGCGCTTTGAAACGTGCTAAATAAGTGCAAGTCTATTTACCATCCGGATCATGGTTCAGAGAGTGGGTTTCTATTCTAAGCAAAGAGATTGTCACATGATCTTTTTGCCTGATCACCGTCCTCTAGTCTGTACCATTACCAAGCTGCCGTTAAAATCCAGATTTTATAACCACGACATCGTCTGATCACTCAGAGAGAAAGTTAGAGGCTCATTCACGTCTGTGTCAACTCCTGTGTGGACTGAGTACTTCTATGCCTCTCACTCACAACAGTAGAGGCAGAGGGGGCTCTCTTTGATAGAAAGTGGCCAAGGTTGTTCAAAAGTCACTATAGATTTGTTGCTTTATGAAACAAATGAGTCTGAGAAGAAACTACATTTAGTGTCAAAGTCACTGAGTTGGCAAGACTGGAAAGGCAAAGCTCCTGTGTATCAGTCAAGGCAGGAGTAGCAAATCCATCCAATTGATCACACCACTATAAGCAATCCATCTTTAGACTAAGGAAAGACCGCCTGTCTAATTAATATAGGGACACATAAATAAATGTATAAATAAATAAATACAGAAATAATAGACATACAGAAATAAACAAATACATAAATGTAGAAATACAGATAAGATTTTTTTTTACCAAAATGTTTTTATTTTGCATTTATTTATGTATTTAATTATATATTTCAGCATTTATTTATCTATTTATTTATACTTATGTCATTTTTTGTCCTTCATATAAGGCTGAATCTGACCACCATGACTTAAAACATATTACACCACAGCAGCTGTGTGTTAAAATGTAGCTGCTGGGAGCTAGTTTTACACTGACTCATTGACTAGCAACAGGGATAAGTCTTCTGCACTGTAGTCAGAAAAAATTGTCTACACCCAGGAAATAAAACATTAACCTTCAGGGAAAAGGGCAGACACATTAGTTGAATCAGCAAATGCCACGAGTGAGACAACAGGTTGACAATGAAAACTCACCTCATCAGCAAGAAGGGAGAGCTCACTGGAGTCAGCAGCATCGTAGTCGTACAGGACTTTGGCCTTGCGGGTTCCTGTAGCTGGCGCCTGAACTTCCTCGATCTTCAGCGTGTCTGTCTCCACAGGGCTGCTGACGCCTTCTGCTGAAGAGCCAGCAGCAGCCATGGAGTGAGTGGAATTCAGAGAAAAAGCATTGGGAAGCCTGAGGGAAAGCAGGCAGGTGTGACTGTCAGAACATACAGACACACAAAAATAACAGATGACAGGAAGCCGACTATACCATGAGAAACACTTCTTCATTGGAAAGACAGAACTAGGGACTGTGTACAGTCTGTGTGACTGCCTCCAAGAACACCTGCTGTTTTAGTTCACCGTTGTGTAGCAGTGCAAAGGGCTGGACTAATAGACCAGATGGAGTGGTGATTAATAAACACACTCTCACAATTCATTTCAAGAATAGAAAATGAAACATGGAAAAAAAAATGTATATGTTAATAATAATAAAAATAATAATAAAATCGTTGTGAAGGAGGTTGTTATGCAAAGCCATCTGCCACCACAAACAGTTATCACCAAGTGATCATCGAGTTATCACCTGCCGGTCTGATGTGTGTGGGCTTATGCTGCAGCAGCCTGGCATCATTCACATGATTTGATGAAGGTAACCACACCGTGCGGCTACAGATTTATCATCACATCTGTCCTTCTGCCTTCACACGGCTGCTTGGATTTAAATGATGGGTTCACTGTTTCTCAGTCTGTCTTAAAACAAGGTGTCCACAGTGATTAACTGGATTATTACAAGTGTTGCCAGTGGAGTGACGCTGGGCCAGAAACAGACATGGTTCTAACACTTCTTTTCTCAGGTGCAACATTAAGACACCTAAATACTAATAACTTGTTTGCATGCCTCAACTGAATGAACTTTGTGCAAATGTCTGTGCACCATGACCTTTCCGCTGGGCACCATGACACCACCCTGACAGGCAAAGGTCAGGAAAACACCACAAAAAGACCTTTAGGTAGAAAAGCCAAGTCGGAGCACAGTCCAATTCACAAATTTACATTTGTATGCAAAGAAGGTAGACATTTTGTAAATGAGTTCGCCTTCAAGTCTTACTACCACAGTATCCTGTATATGTCGCTGCAAAGCTGATTGAACCTCACTGTTTGAGCCTAATAATATGTGATCGTTATGATACCTGCTGTAGTGATTTACAGCATTAAAAAGCAAAAGTGTAGGTCAGAGCAGACACACAGAGGGAAAGAAAAACTGTAGCATTAAAAATAAATGAAGTATTTGTTGTTACCCAAAATTCCAACGATTATAAAATAAAGATTCATAAATGATACAGTAAAGTCAGTAAATTGTGTGCAACTTTAAATTGAAATGTTCTTAGGTGTGCTTAAACAAACAAGACTCATAAAATATTATTAATTCTAGTATGAACAAAAAGAGCTGGAGCCTAAAACTGCTGATCTCAGGCAGTAACAGAACAGATCATTGTGTGTGCAGTGAGTCAGTTCACTGTGACGTCTTGTTGAGATACATTGGACAGACCAGGTTTGCGAAATAGGACGTTGCAGTGAGGAATGAGAAGCAGCCACAGTGGCGTGTTAACTGAAGAACTGCAGACAGCGGGCACCTACATGTTTATTGTGACGCTGAAAAAAAAGTTCCTGGAATACACAAACTGTTCTGCCAATTGTCAGCACTTGATCAAATCTTTTACAGTGATGAATCATCTAGGCTTGCACGCTTAGAAACCTAGAACTAGAATTAAAGTAGAGTCAGCATGAAGATGACTGGCAGCCCATGTGACCTCTTGCCTGGTTCTCACCTGCCCAGCTCTTTCTGAAGTTCTTGCATATGGAGGTGACACTGCTTATAAAAGGCTGCCTGGGCTTCCACAAACTCGTGCAGACAGCGCAGGTGATTCACCTGATGAAAACAATACAACAGGACTGATTATTTATTTGAACTCATCTCACTCAAGTCAGACTCTGCAGTCTGTAGTCTTGAGTGAGATAAGATGAGTAGTCTGTGGAGTTTAAGTACTCATTATGCAATAAGTGGCTCCTTTGATGGTGTTGAATTATACATACATATACTGTACATATGGTGTATTTAGTGTGCAGTATAAAATAGGTGTACAACATAAAAGTGAATAAAATGCAGAATAATTTTCTGTTTTAAAAAAACCCAATTTTAAACCTAATGTTGATGAGGTTAGAAACATGATGTCCCTGCCTGTATGAGCTGAAAGTAAGCGTGTTGTGGCTTACATACATGTGTACTGCTGATGCCCTCCAGAAGTAGCCGTGTGACTTCTGCTTGGCGATCAAACTCTGTTTGTGCCACTCGCAGCTCATGTTCAGCCTGAAACAGGAAGAACAATGTTAGAGACACACAGCATTTCTAAATGATATGATACGACAGACTGATGATAGTAAAAATAATCTGATAGGTCAGGTGATGTAATCATTATGTCACTGAGGAAGTTTCACATGTTTCCAGAGCTCTCAGAGGACACATTTCATCAGAGAAGACTTGAGATGTTTTTTATTACTGAATTATCTATAGACTGCATTGTGTTCAGTGCAGAACAGTGATGAGAGTAAAACCTGAGAAGTCTGGAGTTATAGCTCCATAGAGAATAAAGGTATAAGTACACCTAAAGATTGTCTAAACAAATTCTGATTTACGTGTCTGCTGTTAACTCACTTCAGTGTGTTATGACTTACTTTTGTCCACACCACACTGACACCGGCACAAACAATGTAGCTATTAGAAGTGGTCAGAAAACAGATGGTGAAAGAAGTTCACAAGCACATCACTGGTGTACTCACTTTTTCCACTTCCTCACTCCACAGCTGAGAGGACGCAGCAAAAAGAGGAGAAACAAGTTACAAGAAGGATTTCTCACATTGACAACCAGAGCCGAGGATTATTACAACATTATAAAATATATTGTTTACAATATCCAGCCCTGAGTATTAAAATGTCAATGTTTGAGATGCTGTTAATTTAGGATCAGAATATTCAGAGCTGGATGTTCCTGAAGAGGTTAAATACATGAAGCAGTGCAGAGTGTCCCTGTTAAAGAAAGACATACAACAACAAAGACAACATGAGAACAGGAGAATATGAGTATAGGAGAATATGAGAACAGGAGAACATGAGAACATGAGATGTTAAATAAAGCAGTGAAGCAGTTAAATACAAGCAGTGAAGAGTGTCCCTGTTAAAGAAAGACAAACAACAGCAAAGACAGAATATGAGAGCATGAGAAGAGGAGAACATGAGAGGTTACATATAAGAAGCAGTGAAGAGTGTGCCTGTTAAACAAAGACAAACAGAAGAAGTACTGAACTGGACTGTGTTTTAGGTCTGGTGTGAGAGGTTTCTATTTCTTTCTAATGACCACAAAGGAGCAGAGGAAGCACATGACCACAGCAAGAGAACATTTCATCTGACCCAAACCAACTCCCAAACACATCCTGGTACTATACTCATGTTTCAACTACAGTAAAAACACTGTGTGTTTTTGTCTTTAGCTCTGTCACTGTTAAAAATGTGACTCAATCACTCTCTGTAGCAATCCAACCTCTGCCTCCTGGTTTAATGAGACACATCCGTTTGGGCATCAGACGCTTCTTATGAATGGTATGCGAACTTTCATCATTGCAGCACAATATCAGCCATGACACAGAGGTCTGGTATGTACCTCTGAGCTCATTATCACCAGTTACAGAAGGAAACACCTCCCAACTAAACAACACTGAAGTCCAGATTCATAAATACTTTCAAACAGCAACTTCTAAACGTTTAAGTTTTCCCACCCACCCCCATCAACCTCTATTTCTGATTGAACTGTATGTGGATACAACCTGATCATTATCATTACTCCATTCTTTATATATATATATATATATATATATTTATGTACAGGATTGTCTCCTTACCGCAGAGGCACTGGCAGACAGCACGTAGTTGCGGGGTCTGGTTTCCTGAAAATCTGGAGCCATCTACAGAGACAGTAGAGTTATTTAACAATGATGCACTTAGTGTATGGCAACCATACAAACACTGTGTGAGAAACACAGATAAAATGACCAATGAAGAAAGTAATCATGATATTGATGAGTTACACACAGAAAACAGAGAGCTGTTTTTTAGTATCAGTGACTGATAATTCACTTGTTCTACATACATCCATTTACAGGTGGTTCACCCTGCCAGCACACCTGTGTCAGGTGTGTCATGCCTGGGGAAGGTGCAGAGGTGATGCAACACAGCTGTGTGTAACCATCCTCTCAAACACCAGTGAAACTCGTGACTTGTTTGTCTAGTTCACTGACCTGACTAATCCTCTGTAAGTGGGACAGTCATTGATATTACTAGTCTTAAGGCTAGTCAGCAGTAGTTCACCATGCACATGCTAACATGCATCATGGCTGTCAAAATCATACTGAAACAGTCAGACTTTATTCTGTCCAGCAGTGAAACAAAAAGAAGCCTCAAGAAAAGCAGAAGGACTTCAATCATTCATATATCATGGTGAAAGGTTCAATTACGACTTTCTGTGCCAGGGAATCGAACCTGATTAGTGGAGGATGTCAGATTTAAGTACAATTTTTTTGGTCTTATGCTGGTCTTATGCTGCTGCTGGTAAAATAATATCATATTATTTTCTAAGACATTGACAGCAACAGATTAAAAGAAACTGTGGTTTTTCTCACCAGATCTTTGGATTTTGGATTCTTTGTGGATTTATCTTCACTTTCCAGAAATGAAATGAAAAAAATGGTTTTGATTACATTTGATTATATTGTTCTGCTAGCCAGCTGAAGTCCTCATGCATTGAGACCAATGACCTGTCAGCCTGTCAGTCTGTGTTTCACCACATAGACATGCGCTTGACAAGCGAAGTATTAAACTGATTTTGGAATCGGGTTGCATCGAACACATAAGGAGAAACTTAATATATTGTCTTGTGTCTATTCTCAACCATGCTCACACTACAACATTTGAAAAAAATTGAGCATCATACAGGATGTTAAGATTATCCTGCCAGTGGGAGCAATAAGAGAGCGATGCACCAGCTCGTGTGATCTCATCTAATGGGGAAGCAAATGTAAATAAAACGGGGCCTGTGGTGCAACAACTTGATGCAATAAGAAAAAACAAAAGCAGAAGGATCAGACAATGAGACACTGGTCAGCTGTTCTTCAGGGAGAACTGGAGGTGAGATTTTAACTTTTTATTTCTAATATCTGTCAACAGTAATACATTAGCTAACATTAGCCTCAAGCGCTAGACTGTTTACCATTGCTTGGAAACACTGTCAGCTGCTCCTGGACTGACGTAAACACAGTTGTAATCAATAATCCTGATTTTAAATCCTTATCGGGCCCCCCTACAAGCCTATGAGCAGTTGAGGAGGTTTAAGGTGATCACATTACCAGATAATCTGGACCGAATATTGGTCCAAGACCAGATTTGTCCTCTGATTGTCAGTAGGGTGAAACCCCTGTAGTCTGAGCCTGGCTTTCCAGCAGCAATCTATAAAACTGTTTAGTGAACCCGTTTCTATTACAGGTACAATTTATAAATACACAGGTGAACCATGCCAGGCTGTGTGGTATACCACAGTTACAGAGTTACAGAGACTGTTAGTGAATTATTGCTGATTCATAATCCAAATCTATTGTACTTAAATGTCCATTCACAGAAAATAAAGTGAATCTTTTCACCATGTAGCAAATATTAGCATGAAGTCAATTCTCATTGTCAAATAAAGACATTCATGAATAAATTAATCATCACAAAAAAAAAACAGAAGAATTTGAACACACAGATCCTTTCAGCAGAGAGTTCATCAAATTGAATTTATAGTTTGTTTTATTATTTGTATTTTAATGGACCATCAGATCCTGGTACAGTTGTTCTCACTGCTAAACCCTGGTTACGAGAGGAAGCGGATGGTGGAATAAGCTATCACCACCAGACACAGCCCAAAGTTTTGCTGAATTTCGTCAGTGACTGGCGTTAATTTCCCATCATGCTCTTTGATATGCTACAAGTTTCAGGCTCTCTCTGCACAGATTCAGCTTCAGGTCAAAGATGTTTTTTCAGTCATTAACAGTTTCTTGCCACCAGGAAATCAATGGCACAGAAAATAAATTCAAAGCAAGTGGGACAGTAGAAAAACTCATGTGAATCAAACTCAAAGTCTTTAAAAATGTCTTTAATACTCACTTCACCCTCGCACTGAAAAGGTTGTGGATACAAACACACTTAGTCAGCACCACCAAAGGTTTTATCACATTATTATGGGAACATGTTCAGGGAGGGGGTTACGGGGTTGGGAGGCAATAAAGGACTCACCGCAGCCTTTGCCTCAGCCAACTTGGCCTTCTTCAGACGTGTTTTACAAGCGTCCAGGTCCAGGCGAAGATTCTCCAGCAGACGTCGCTCTTTCTGAAGTACACGAAAATGACACAGTCAGGGAGGTATGGGTACAGCGCAATTCACAGCATGATGCCATTAAATCAGGTGATACCGAGCCCATGACAAACAGCAATGGGCTTCCTACGACTAGTAGAAGAACTTGTAAAGTTCAGTATTTTAAAAGGTTCTGTAAATGAGATTTTAAACAATCACACAGCAGCAAACAACTCTTTGGAGTAATGCCACCCTGAGCAGAGAACTAAGTCCCCCCCCCCCCCATCCATAAAGTCTTTAAAGTTTTTACCGGCTCTGTCAGTGTCAGTGGTGCAGCTGGTCCCAGTGGATCAGTCCAAAACTGAATTTCTGTCTCAGTCTGACCATGAGAGGAGAGCCCTACAAGCTGCTAAAGCGTCCAGCTTGACTCAGAACTGGTTTTTCTTCCTTTATTATTCCTCCATGTGTCAGTAACTTGATGGTGCATACTGTTACATGTCTGTTTTCATTAGTGACGTCTACGGTAGCATGCCAACGTTAGCTGTACTATACTGTACATGTACTTGCTGTTACACATATTATAAATGTGTTCGGGAAATTTTGCTATCGGTAGCTGGATAACTGCTAGCACTGCTGTGGAGCATTTCATGACAATGCTAGTGTGGGCTAATAGTTGAGTCTGGATTGTTCTGTTGGCTCTCGTGTTCATGGAACTTTATTCAGTCAAGCTTCTTGTTGTATGTTTAGTGTCCACTTTCACTGAGCTTCATAATACCTTGCTGACTGAGAACATGAAGGTAGTGGGGAAGTGGAGGGGGTTGTGGCCGACGGGAGGCCACAGTGTGGCTGACGAAGCTAGACGAATCTAGTTGCAGCGAGGATGGTTTACGGAACCTTTAACATAATATGGGTTCTTTTATATATAAGAAACCACCCCAGCTCATCACATTGACTTTTCTTAGCAATTTGAGTAATCATGGCGATGTAAATGGCAATTAAAGGCGAAAATAGAGAATGAATGGGGAGACGTCCTCAAAACGACCAAACCCAGCCCTCTTTGGAGCTCTACTGCTGCGTCATACTTCAACGTACAAAAATTGTTGAAACGTTAAACGGGTCACAAGACTTGATACTCTTTTGGGTTAAATCGGTATTTTCGCGTCGAGTGGCGTAGTGGTCTAAGCAGGCGCCTCATATGTAGAGGCTACAGTCCTCGCTGCAGTCGGCCCCGGTTCGAATCCCGCATCGGACGGCCCTTTACTGCATGTCATTCCCCCTCTCTCTGCCTCCCCATTTCCTGTCTCTCTCTACTATCCTGTCCAATAAAGGCACAAAAGCCCAAAAAAATATACTTTAAAAAAAAGAAGTGTATTTAGATTAGGGCTGTCCCAAACGATTAATCTAGCGATTATTTTTTCGATTATTCGACTAATCTAACGATTATTTTTTTTATTAACCTAACAGTAATTTTATTGCAATTATTTTCCAGTTAGTCATTTAATATAACAATTTGCCCCGTCCAACACACACACACAAATGAAGATGCACTTTGCAGAGTCTGCAGACTACCGCACTGTTGGTGTCAAGATAAAAGTATTCCCAAACTTTGGAGGACTGTGTGCGAGCCTTTTTTGCCGCGTGTTGCTCCACACGCTCCGTCGTACTGCTGGTAGACGCCGCCATGTTGTTCAAATAGATTACACAGACGCAAATCATTCATGTAGTCAATGACTTCAATTACGTCACCGCATTGTCCCAGCCCTTGTGCTGCGCTTGTATCCGGGTAAACCAAAGACGATGGATATAAACGGTCCCATTAGAAAGTTCCGATTTTGTTCTATGAACATTTACCCTGTGTGGTTTTACACGACGCGTCGACACTAAAATTCCACGTCGAATAATTTTTATAATCGACAACGTCGATTACGTTGGATAATCGTCCCAGCCCTAATTTAGATATTGTTGGCACAAAGAGAATAAAACATATAACAACAATAACCAATGTGTTGCTTCCTGTTCTGAGAAGAGTCACTCATTATACATCTCATACTACACATATAGACACTGACTAGTGCTCACCTGGTTATAGGTTGATTTAGAGTCTAAGTCCTACATGCACTATAATTTTATTTCTGAGACAGACCTCTTTGTGTGTAAGCGACACCCTTTTAACCTAGGTGTACATACCAAAGCACCCTTCCCTTTTTTAACCTCTTGTCAAAAAAAAGTGAATTTGCCAAAATATCTGCATCAACCAACAAATCGATGATAACAACTTAAACACAAGTGTACAATTACTCAAATACAAACAGTCTCTCTTTTCTTTCCTTTCTCAGTCCAGTGAAAGGCTGAAAATGCGCAGTCTATGAATTGTATCCTTCAGTGCTCTGGCAATGATCAGTCCTACCAGGATTTCTTATGGAAGCAACAGTTCAACTCTTTCAGGAACGTCTGTCCAGTTAGCTTGGCTCGCCACAACCACTGCACTCTACCACCACTATTGTAGCGCAGAACAGCAGCAGAAGAAATCCACTCTCTTCCAAAGATGTCACATCCAACTCAAACAGGGAGACAACAGGGGGGGACCCGGCCTGAGTAGGCCAAAAAGAGGGTTAAATATACATCCTCTAGACACTTCACATTGTGGACAGGAACTATTCCACTTATCCAGCTAGTATCAAAGTTATCCACCACATTCTCCAGCGCAGTCTATCATGAGCGACACAACGTGCGTCTGACTCTGATCTCAATAGCGACAGAAGAGCGGGAGAGAGAAAAAAAAAACTAGGCGACACACCGACAGTAAAAAGAGCTCCAATTGGAGGATAAAATGTATAACCCTAGTATAGCAGGTGTAACCATGAAACCTCTGATTTTAGAGCTATTCCATTCCAATGTCACCTGAAACCACTATATATATTTCAAACACAGCACATTCACAATGAGCAATACATTTCTACCTTAATTAACTATTTTCAATAATTAACTGTTCACTAATGTTCACTAATTTTTCAACCATAAACCATTGTTTGTTTGTATTTTTGTTTCTATTCCTAATTCTAATCCTTCCTATATAGAAAATATTAATTCAGCCATAATAATTTATTGCACAGTTAAGGCCTCGTAACATGGGTTACACACACATACATTGAAAGACACACGAACACCATCACCACCTTATGGATATGAACTGTACAAGTGTCTCAACCTGGTAACACAAGTTTTTTGGAGGCTCTATGGTAGACAGCTCTACTGCCTCACACAACAATACATGCATGCACATTATCAGACACACCCAAACACCATCTTACTTTTTGGATATTCACCTTCAAAATAAGAGTCTCAACCAGGTACATAGAACTTACTGGGGTTCTGTGGGGCAGCTCTACCACACACACACACACACACACACACACACACACACACACACACACACACACACACATATATTTGGATTAACCATCAAAATAAAAGTCTCAACAGGATAAGAGGGAATTATTAGCTCTGTTGTACAAAACCTTTTGCAATTTATACTGCCAAACACAGAAGCACAGACATTTACAGACACATGCCATCCCAATGACATGGATACACTTTCAAAATAAGAGTCTCAAAAAGGTAAGAGGTAGTAAAAAGTTTGATCTTAGAAGCTATTGTCTATATGGGGATATAGTTCTATAGCTTTACTGCAGATCAACTTCTGTTAGGGAATGTATATGTATATGTACATGTCTTGCTATGGTTGTGGGGACAAGTTTGGGTTTGAAACCATCAGTGTGAGGTTATTTTGGCCAGTCTTGACAGCTTCAAATGGCTTTTGAGGGACACCTGCATTGACTGAGGTCAGTATCAGGAAATATCTCTACGACATGAATGAAACTGAAAGTAACATCCTTTGTACAGATTGAAATGTGAGGAGTGAAATACACGCACCAAGCACATTCAAAAGTTCTCCAGGAATTTTCTAGTTAGTGCCACGGGTGCTCAGCTCCGAGGCACTCCTCTACAGCTAGAATAGCTGAGAGGAGTGCCTCGGGGCAGATCCCCGAGGCATTTATTAATATTCCTTTGGGCTTAAAAACCCACAAAATTTCACCTTTTTTCTGAGTCACCTAGCTCTCTCATACCTGCACGTAGAAATTTGATTCAAACTATAAAACGGAGGAAAACTTCTGTTCTCTCCAAAACACAGCAACTGTTTTTACATAACATGTAAACTTTTCAAAGTATGACCACTCAAAGGAGGAGTGGAAATCACTTTTTCTTCAAAGTTAGAGTGATAGCGTCAGTTGGCTAGAGTGCGTGAAGCAGTAAAAAATAACATAGTTGTTGGGATTCATAAAATGTAACTTTGACAGGCAGGGTCTGCACAAAATTTAAACGGGGTTGCCGAGTCCGGCAGCAATACCTGTCTCACTCTCATTGACACCTAATGTAATCGTCTTTTTCTTTCAAAAGAATCTCACTCTGTCTTTGCACTGAGCTTACTCACTCATTTTAAGGAATATCTGAATAAAATAGAGACTGTAAGAAACTTCTGGCTTCAGTGTCTCTCACGGTGTTTTCGGTTTTTGAAAAGAAGTAACGGTTTTCTCATAATTTGCAATTGTTTGAAGCCATGTAGAAGCCAAATTCTGGGCAGATTTTCACATTGCCATGGCAACGGCAGCTCCTGACCTGACCTCTGACAGCCAAGGGCTGCGTGATGTCATCGCTACAGTGACACAGAGAAGATTTTTTACCCTAACCCTAACCCTAACCCTATCCCGGCAGTAGCCCCCGTGGCACTCAAAATTTCCCTGGAATTTTCTAGTTTTATTTATTGTACTGTAACTATTGGAAGTCTCAACATTTCCAAAGATAGACACTTTGGTAAAGGTGTGATGATAGATTTATGTCCTAGATCATACAAAGTCAGGCCAAAGTACAAAATGTGATTTTTCTATTATACTATAAAACAGAGATTAATCATCATGTTAATTTTCATTAATTAGGCGACATGAATTTTTCCATTACTATAAATGATCATGATGAAAAAAACAGCGATGAGTCATGTTCAGATGTCGACAATTAAAGTATGACACCACTTTCATGTTTGCTATGGATAAACTACAATCTGAGCCTTCTGCTGCCACAGGTCTGTCCCTGGCCCAGTGTTGTATACTGAATAAAACCATGAGAGATTATTTCTTTCAACACCATCCAGAATATGTGAAGTCAAGGGGGAAGTTTTTATGTCTTCTAATTGAATGTGACATCCCTCCTCCCTAAAATACTACTGCACCAGTAGAACTCACTGAAATGGTCTTCCAGTCTCCTTCCAGGAAGTTCCTGAGGGGGGTCAGGAAGCTGATGGCTGATGTCTGGAGGAACTCCCTCTCTGCTGCTCCTAATCTCCTCTCACATTCCCCCACCTTGATCAGAGTGCTCCCTGAAAAACATTCACCACAGAGGCTTCATTTCAAATAACACACCCCTCCTAGGCTTCAACACGTCCTCTGAAGGTACAGGATAGTTTAAGACACTGTAGTCGACAAGCCCTTGAATCTGCACCTGGCAACTGTACCTCAACTACTTCTTTCTGTGTGATGCATCAGATGTGTTACAACCCTCAACCGACACAAACTACGTGCTGCACTCCAGACGAAAATTTCTAGGTTAAAATACATAAAAATAAAACCACGTAGGCTGTTATTACCTCTGCTGTTATGCGTATTTTTGTACTAACACAGAAATCATTTGTGAAATCATAACATAAAACCACATTTTCTGGCTGAAGAAAGCCTGATGACTGATTTCAATAGTCATGCATTTGTTTCTCAAAAACAGTTTCCTTAGTTTACTACTATCTCCTTCTTTTCATCCATATTTTTGTCTTTGATTTGTATCATCACATGTTTTCAAGTCGGTTATTTGGCAATGTGTATGATGGAGACACAATGTGGACTTTTAACATTGCCTGTGTCTCTACTCAAAGCTAAATATAGATCCAATAAAAGTGCCCAAGGGAAAGGAGCCATGGGGCCATGCTCCAGTTGCTCTTTGTAATCTACACCACATGAATAATACTGTATATAGTCTGCAGCCATGTTACTGTGGCTACAACACACAGAGCACAGTGTTGTCACCTGGCTAAAGGTTGACAAGACTCTGAAATAAGAAACAAAAAGTAATTTATTTAACCAAAATGCTTCAACATTACCATGAGGTGTGTAAATGGGGCAGAAGTCAGTGGTGTGTGTGATGTGTGGTGGAGCCAATCAGAGACAAAGAAGGGAGGCTTGGGAGCAAGTTAAGCCGAGTCACATTACTTCAAAAGTTAGCTAATAAGGCAGCACTGGGGATACATGACTGATACGGCTGCTGCTCTCACTAACTCACAAACTACTGTTCATAGGACTTTTTCACAGGCAAAGTGTTAATATGTCACAGTAGAAAAAAGCAGTGAATAATAAAAATGCTGAATTCCAGCCATTACGCACTGTTGTGGAAGAAATAACCTTAGTGACTGGCAGGAAAATACCAGTTCACTGGTGCATCACTGCATTTCACTACAGAGCCAACAATCTGTACCTGGATACATCCTCATCATACAAATGAGTGAAGAAGAGCTGGCAAACTTGTATCTAGCAGTCAGGTGACCTTTCAACTTATTGGGTAGATTCTTTCTGATGTAAACAGAGGTCAAGTTTACATACAGGCTGTAAACAGAGTCATGTTGTGTTTAAGACTTACCATATGGAGAACCAAATTCCTTTGCTGCATCCTGCATATATTGACCCAGCAGCTCTCCATTGGTAATTCTGGACGGTGCCTTCCTGTCCAACTTCTCATAGAGAAACTCCTCAATTCTGGCACCTGCATACAAAGTCAAGAAGAGTTTAATCTATGGCTCAGATGCGGAAGAACCTTAAAGTTCTTGTACTCCTGATTAAATGAAAACTATACCCAAAGTTAATAATTTACACCACTGCAACAATTAGCTGATTAATACAAATGATAATTGATTAATTGTTCTGAGTCATTATTTTAATAGAGATATTATAATAGGATAACATATGAGGACATGTTGGGCACTGGGAATCATGATAGGCACTTTTTACTATTTTCTGACATTTAATATACAAAGGACTAATTGATTAACAGCGAAAATAATTGGGACTGATGATAAAAATAATAGTTGCCTGCATCCCTAATGTATTATGAGCTGCCCCTTGGTGGGGTTTTGGTTTTAAGGCAGTTTAATATGAACCACTCAAATAAACCGCTGCAGACACCACATTAATATACTGATAAACATACTGAACACTACCTGCTCAGCACAGCAGGCAGACATAGTTACAGTTACAACTACTTCTTTTTCTTAGGAGCCAATGAAGATAAAAAAAGAGTTTTGGACTTTCACCCGGTGTGTCTGCTGAATGCAAAAGAAGGCAACTGTTACTGCTAACACTGTTAGCCTTAATGATGTTATAAACTGGTGATATGTGGTGGAAGTGTATCAAGCTTCTGATACTTTTCAACCTCTTTGTGGTCCATTGATGTTTATTAATGGACGAAACAGAAGTGGCTCTAATACAATGTAAATTATCACATTATAAAACCACTATAGCTCATTTTGCAGAATTACAGTGGCTGCAGAAAGTCTTCAGACTCCATCACCTTTTGTACACTTTATTGTGTTGTAATTTATTTGTAAAATAAATTGTAAAATATTTAATTTTAAATGGATAAAATTGCTACTTTTGCACATCAGCCTACACAAACCATTCAGACCTTCTATTGCGGCTCCAACCTGTGGTCAGCTGCTTCCTGTTTGCTGTAATTATCCTTGAGATGAGTCTACAACTTGACTGGAGTCGACCTATGGCAAGCTAAATTGATTGGGCAAAGAAAGGCTCACACCTGTTTATATAAGGTCCCATGAAGCCATGAAGTCCAAGGAACTCTCTGTAGACCGACCTCCATAGTAAAATTGCTACAAGGCATAGACAACAACAAGAGTATGAATCCCTTTCTAAAGCTCTTTGTGTTCCCAGGAGAACAGTAGGAACAATAACTGAAATTGAAGAAGTCTGGAACCAGGACTGTTTTAGAGTTTGCTGTCCAGACAAACTGAGTAACCAGGAAAGGATGTTGGTCAGGGAGGAGGTCACTGTAACAGAGAGTCAGAAGTCCTTTGCAGAGATGGAGAAGCCCCCTGGAAGGACGGCCGTCTCAGCAGTTCTCCATCAATCAGGTCTTTATGGTAGAGAGTCGAGACATAAGACACTGTGAGTAAAGGACATATGAAGCCTGCTGGAGTCTGACTAAGAGCATTTAAAGACTCTGAGAGCAGGAGGAACAAGACTCTCTGGTCTGGTCAGAACTCCAAACACCATGTCTGATAGACACCAGGCACTGCTCATCACCTGGATGTTACCATCCCTATGATGAGGCATGGTGCTGTTAGGAGGGGCTTCTCAGCTGCAGGGAGAAGGAGACTGGTCAGAACTGAGAGAAGGATGAATGCAGGTCCATGAAGAAAACCTACTCCAGAGCTTCAGAGGATCTGTTAGCAAGAATGGGATAATCCACCAAAATCCAGGTGTTCAGAGCTCATAGAGACTCAGCCAAGAAGACTGGAGCTCTAACTGTTGCCAAAGAGGTCTCTACAAAGAACTGGATTAAGGGTCTGAAGACTTCAGTATTTCAGTTTTTGATTTTAAATACATTTGTAAAACTTTCTAGAAATATGTTTTCACTTTGTCATTATGGGTTATCGAGTGTAGACTGATGGGCAACAATGGCAATTTCATCCATTTACCATTAAATCTACAACACAATGAAGTGAAGGGGTCTGAAGATTTTTTGAAGACAGTGTATCACCTTCACAGTGTTCACAGTGTTGCATTTACCTGAAAGATGCTGCTGTGTCTAATTATGCTATTTCTATACTGCTGTCGGGTTGTTTGTTTATTGTGTGAAATCTTTGTCTGCAGAGAAACTTGTGAAGGAAATTCAATATTTCCCTTTGGATTTTAATTGAGTAAAAGTAAAGTTGCCCAAAACTGAGTTCTTTACATATCAAGGCAAACAGACACCCAAAGATCAAATGATCATGTTCCTTTAAAGAGCAGAAAAACAACTAAATGGATTCTCACAGCATTGGTACAGAATTATCCATTTAATAATTATATGGGAAAACGTTGACATTCAGCCACTGAAGTTTATGATAAGATACTGAAAGTCATTTTTGGGTGTAGTATTTATTTAATCAGGACATGAGAGGCATCTTCATCCAGCTGCAGTATCTGTAAATAAAAAGTAACTATTGCAGAAAAAACATGGGAGGACAAAATAACATGTACTCCTTACAATACATCAGAATGGATTAACGGGTCTCAAGAAGACTTTCACAACCATAAGTAAATGTGACGTAATGACTTGCTTCAGTATCTCTGGCACTGTCAACGCAGATGTAGTGTAAGGTTTCTGTTAGTTTGTCCACTGCCTGTGACGCCATCAGTGAATAAACGCCACACACAATAATCTCAAATCTCATAGAATAATCAAAACCTCTGACTCACCCCAACATTATAAAGAGGTGCTCTTTTGATATTAAAACCTTTTGATATTATTGATGTGACTCACATATGAATGTGACGTCTGTTAGACTTGGGTGGTATCTTTGTTTTCGTACCAAAACAGCCCCAAACATGTACAGGACTGTGCTACAGTTTTAATTTAGGTGTCTGATTGGTCCAGACTCATTCTGCAGCAGGACAATAAGTCCAAATTCAAAGCCAGAGTCATGAGGAACTGTCTTCAGACACCAGAAGAACAAGGAGTCCTGAAAGCAGATGGTCTGGTCCCCACAGAGACCTGATCTCAGCATCATGGAGTCAGTCTGGGACCACATGAAGGGACAGAAGACACTGAGACAGACTAAATCCACAGAAGAGCCAACAACCTTCCTGCTGAGTAGCTGAAGAACTGTGTCTGGTAAACCAGCCTGTGTCTGGTAAACTGAGGAGAGCTGGAGCTGGTTTAAAAGCAAAGGGGGGTCACAGCAAATACTGATTTGATTTAGGTTTAACTGCACTTGAATGAAGTAAAAAGCTATTCATCATTATTTTTTAAAAACTCCTCACTTTACTTTTAGTGCATGTACGTTGAAGTCTGATTCCCGACCTGCAAGAACCAATCAGCCAACAGTTATTTAGTTCATCAAAGTGTATTAATCACAGTGGATTAATTATCCATATATTTTTCTCAGAAGTCTGAAACTGAGCTAAAAGACAGGCCAATATTGGACTTATCTATATTCTCCAGACCCAGTGTATATATTATTATATAATCAGCATATACCAACCTTTATCAATAAACAAAAAAATATGCTGACGCAGATATAAATCAAAACTAAAATCTGCATGTGTGGCAGCAGTGAGCACTCTCTCATTGCCAATCTACAGAAAAAATTCACACTTGTCACCTGAGAAGAAGAAGTTGAGTGTTCAAAACCAGAACCAGATATCATATGGAGACAGATCGTGGTCCAGCTTACTCTCTACGGTTTGTTTAGAAAAGCTGTCACTGATCTGTGGTGCAGACCTCCCAGAATGTTGCTGAGAAATTAAACGCAATGGATCCTCATAGCCTAAATAGTTTATTCACCTTTAAAACTAAAGTATCTGTCAGCTCGTAACAACACCTCACTGCTTCTGACTGTTGTTGTCAATGCAGAACTTCTGGTTGTGAGTGTTGTTTCTTGTGGGTGGAGGTGGAGGACTATTGTCTTTACATTGGTGATCGCATGATGTGTCTTTTACAAAGAAAGAGCTCACTACTGTCACATGCTTTTTTCGGTATCAAATCAGCTGATTTGATAACCCTCTGATTCTAAATAAAGTTGTCTGAGACATCTTCACATAAGGCTTTGTCTATTGTTTGCTGTGTGCTGCCTGTTTCCTGCACCTGAATGAACCTCGGTGTAGGAGAAGCTTGCCTCCTTTTTCTGATGAAATATTGGACTTTTAATCGTCAGGTGGTCAGAAAAATGAAGCTTCAGTTCCAACAGATTTCCTGCCCCCTAGTGGACACAAGTAAATTAAAGCTGCTTAAAACAGCAACAACTGTCATTTTAAACCGGTGTAGTACTTGTGAGGATTTTAAAACTCCTTATTACCAAAACACTACCCAAGTCTAATGTCTGTCACACAGGATAAATTAATACCATGGAATAGCATCACCGATATTTACAAAGCTATAATTAAAGTAAACATTTTTCACAAGTACATTTTGGAGATGATGTGTGAGTTTTAATCCAAGAAGTTTAGTGATCCCAGAGGAAAACAAAGCAGGGGGTATCTCTCAAAATAATTAATAATTAATGAGCCCCCTTCACATGTCCACAACATCTAAAAATATTTAGACACAATGTTAAAAAGCCTCATGTCGAGGTAGAGACCTTTGATCAGAGCATGTTTCTTTATTGCTCACATACTTGTTATTGATCAACTCTACAAAATCAATTCTGCTGTTAATCGTGCTCTAATGACACTAAGGGTCACGACTTGTTTTGGTCAAACTGATGCAGGAAATTCACTGAGGTTTTAAGAGATGCCTCAGTAATCAGCTGACTGACAGGTCCAACTGTACTTGTGGAAAACTGTATGTGGCGGTAGAAACCGTAGTTACCGTCTGTAACTATGGTTCATATACTCAAACACAGACACACTACACACAACCAGGCTGGAGCAATGAGGAGAACCTGTTCAACAAGGAGATGATGTGAGGAAATATAAACAGGCTTAGAGGGAAGTATGTGAAACAAGGGCAGCCCTGCCCTGATTCTGGATCAGCTTCTGCTCTTCTATCTTTGTTTCTATCATTTCATTTTCTCTCTGATGAGGTTAAATATGATAACATTGTTTTCTGTCCACATTCTGCACTAAAACATAAAAAACTTAATATTAGCATTTAACTCCTTCCTTGAACTTCAATGAGGTGTTAGTGGCACATTTGTGGCCAAGGCTCATGTTGTTATGTTGACTGTTCTCAGACTCACTTCTGATCCCAGCTTCCATAAAGAGCGACTAGATTCAGAACAGTAAACTAGTTTGGAAGAGAGCACAGCCTGTGTAAACAGTTGTATTAGGGGAAATGTAGGATCCAGTGTTTCTGGAGAAGTTACTGGATCAAAAAACGATCTTCAGGAACTCTTTGGCAGGGAAAAAGTGATTTAGTGGAGAATAGTGGTATAGGGTTAGAGTTATATATATATATATATATGTGTGTGTGTAAGTTTTGTTATTGCTACATAGCTAACGTTAGCATTAACATACATTTACTTACCAGTTGAGCTTCAGCCTCATTGTGTTTACAATACAAGAGGTTATTTTATACGTCCTCTGAGCAGATACTTCTTCAGGGCAGACTGGACAATAAAGTGACTTGGTATCAGAAAGTGATGAGATAGTCAAACTCGGGCTAGCCAGTTAGCATGCTAACTTCAGTAGAAGAAAAGACATGACAGAAACTAGAGTTTCACCTCTGGCGACAGCTGTTGGTGAGTAAAGGAATGAAGTCTGATGCTGAACTCACACAGTTCTTCTAGACTGAAAAGTAAACAGCTGTTAATGCGTTAGCTATGTAACAATAGCAAAAACTTACATATAGCTCCTTTAATTGCATCACATCTGGATATGATTTGTATGGTTTCTATTCTATTTTCTGTACTGGGTGCAGTCAATGTTTTTAACTGTTTCCACCCTGATGAGGATGTTGTGATCTCTGAGGTCTGCTTCTCTAACTAATACACCCTTCTGTTAATGTCCTGTTTCTCTTTGCTTTGCCTAAGAACCTGAAGAACATGACCAGTTTTTATCTTTAAAAGCATCTAAAGGTTCTCCTCCATTTCTTTTCTGTGTATTTTGAACTAAGGGAAAATTTTTCTTTGTAGGTTTGGCACTCAGTTTGAAGTTTGGCCTAAGCCAGACATGACGATTTCTCAAATCCAACAAATCAAACTATGAGTTGTTTCTCTTATTTTGAACATGGACAAAATAGCCAGTTGTCATGCTTCAGCTTTATAGCAAGGTGAAGATGAGAAAGACAAGATAAAGACTAAATTAAACCGCGTGGTAAGAGCCAGTGAAACAGAGGTTTAATTAAAAAGGAGTTTGACATAAACTATCTTTAACCCACATAAATCGTGTGCTGACACAATCAGCTGTGAGCCAGAATAGACTGGTTATGTCCTGCTGGAAGTGATCAGCCCTGAAGTCACATTGATGCTCTGAGTCTCAGAGCATTAAAAATGTATTTCACAGCCAGCTTTGATCTCAGCACCATATTTAGTCCTGTTAATGTTCATCAATGACTTCTCTTCTAACTCTAATTCAAAGGCATGAAAGATGTACACAGCGGGGGACCAGAGTCGGGAGGCAGGATACTCACCAGTGTGATCAACTGTAGCATGTTGAATCAAAAAGTCACACATTAGAGCTCCCACTCTCCAGTATGTCATCTCATATAAACCTAGAAATAATGCTAATACGCTGCATTAGGACCGTACCAGTGGTATTGGGTATTGTATGTTTCAGCTATGAATTTCATTTGGCTTTATCTTTTTGTCAAAGCTGCATTTGCAAGCTGTAGCCTTTCTGTGGATTCCTATAATATTTGGTGGCAGCAGTGCCAGTATATGGAAGGACAAACAGTGGCTTCAGGGAGTTTACAGATGCTTTATTGTGTTATAGATTTAACAGTAAATGGGTGATACATTGTGTTTTCTGATTAAGACATGTGGGATGATATGTTGATATTATTCAGGTGCAAGCAGCTAATTCAAAATATGCGTCTCAGTTGGGGTTTTTACAGCAGGTTGTGTCACTCTTGCCCCTCTTGCCCTTTACAATAAGCACAAACCGACTAGACTTGTGAGACTGGAATGGAGATACATGCCAAAAAGAAAAACCCACATTCCTGGACAGAAGAGGAAACACACCTATTTTTAAACATAATGAAAGAATATTCCTCTTCATTAGGCGTGTAAACAGCTTAATAAGAATACTGTCTTTTTCAGAATAAGAGCGAAAACTGGAAAAGCTTGTGCATGTTAAAATAGTGACTATAATGTTTGTCCCAGGCCTGACAGGATAATCACGTTTTCCTGACCTCGATATTTCCCTTTGAGTTTTCATGTATGTTTGTTTACATAAGCATGTCACCACCACAGCAGGGTTTGACTGTATGTCCACATGGTTTCAGAACTGCACTCCACAGATCAGGTGTGGGAACACTTTGGGTTTAAGCTGGATGAGAGTTTCTCATACACCGGCTCTATCGGCCAACAGGTAGATAACATCACTGTTTCAACACCTTACCTCACTCTTCAAACTAATTCCTTTTTTCTAAGTTGCTGCACTGCAGTAACTGAGTGGAGACTAGACGATTCTGTGTGCAGCTGACTGTGGGGCGTTTAGGGGACATCTGTAAATTGCAGCTACAGAAAATAACCTGGGTTACACTATCAGCATGAGTCTACGCATCATTCACACACCACCACAGGTAAATTCTCAACTATTGCTATTTATAATATTTAATATTTTTACACATCCCAATTCCAGTGTCTCAATTAAAAGTTTATTGTTCTTTAAAAATGTCTCCTCACATTATTATACTATTATCATTATATCAGAGGCATAAAATGGTCTTGACAATAATATTGTTTATCAGAATTATTTCTGTGACAATATGTTGTTCAATAAAAGAAGTTATCATGACAGACCCTGATGCACCTGATCAGAGTGAAGAATCTGAATCCTTTTGTGAATGAGAGATTACAGTTTTTAATTGAAAAAATGGAAGGTGTAATAAGCTAAGGCTTCAGCCTAAAGCTTTTCAGTCCTGTTTTGTTTCTTGTTTAAAAAATAATTAACTTAATGTTTATTTATTGTCTATCTACCAGTGTATTTGAGTTTTATGAATTGGAAAATGATCAAAAAATTTAAATGAAATAAAAGAAATGCAAAAATAATTAAAACTATGTTTTCACTTGGTTATTATGATTATTGAGTGTAGACTGGAAACTTTAAAATGAAATCTACAACATAATAAAGTGTGTAAAAAGTGAAGGGGTCTGAATACTTTCTGAAGCCACTGAACATTCAACACATTTGATAGATTCATGTTGAGCATTTTGGTCAGAAACACCAAATGTAAACATGTTTATAAGAAAACTATACAGGACACATTTAAAACCTTCTGTCACTGCCATTGACTGAGGTCCCAGCTGTGTGTAGCTGTGTGTAGCTCTGTGTGTAGCTCTGTATTTGTACACTAATTGTAATCATAAAACTTGACCAGACCAACAGGGAGAAAATCAATATTATACCTGCAACTTATTTATCATGTGACAGGACTTCACTTTGACACAAAAATAAAGTTATGACTTTAAGTTTGCGTCCCAACATGGTCAGAAGTAATAGAGCATACGCTATTTCTAGTTAATGTGTGAAAGCATGCAATGCCACCAGTGTGGACCTGTCAGGATCATATGATTTGGTTTAAGTATTAAACTGCATATTAACTAGTGCTACTACTATTGTATTGTCTTATTGTCAATTGTCTAATTAATGACACTGATGGCAAAAAGAAATACAAAATTCACTGGGTTAGACTGTTTGTCACAGTCATTATAATAATGTTCTGTGACTGTTGTTTGATCAATCCAGAATACGTTGCTTCATTTTTCCATCAGTGTAAACAAGTCCAGCTTTACTCTGTTGGACTTTATTGATGTTTGCACCACATGGCAAATATCTTGTACATGATGTGTCTCTTGTTAATAAAATCTGTAACCACTATTACAGTGCTTCACTAATGAGCTAATTATCCCCTTATGCTGCATTTTACAGCAGTCATTTATCTTCTATAGCAAAAAACACCAGTACAGCAGTAGCTATGCTTGAAGGCAACATGTACTTCACAATAATGATAGGTCTGGTGTAATTGTGTCATACTTGGGTTGGGCTGCAGTAGGACCTCCGTTTGTCTGTAGATTTTCTCAGTCCAGTTTTTGGTGCAGTCTGCACGGCTCATCAGGTTCTCAAAGTGAGCGTCCAGCTCAGTCTTCTCCGCCTGGCCCAACTTCTCCTCTGTGAACTGAGAAGACACACAACAACACACTCGCACAGGTGAACACAACTGGGTGGCTTCTCATCTGTTATTATTAAAAGCTTAAGGAATCCGGAATGACATCAGACCGGGTCCAGTGCACGACCCGTTCCTGCTCAGCTGACATCCTCTTCCGTTCTCTCACACTTGTCCCCCATCAAACTCACCCAAATGAATAAAAGATGATAAAACATGTGATACACCTATTACAGTTTACTTTAGATTTTTTTTAACCGACTCCGTGGTTGTTTTTGTTTTAGCAACCGTTACGTTAGCTTGACTTAACATTAAAGTGGCTAACAACACTGTCAGTAACAGCATTTAATTATAATGTCGGCATTCTACCGTTATCAGGACGTCACTGAATATTAAGTAACAGTGTGTTTTTCTATCTTAACATGTACCCCAGCGTTAGCTCAGACACTGTAACATAACGTTAGCTCAGATACTGTAGTAACGTTAGCTCAGACACTGTACCGTAACGTTAGCTCAGACACTGTGGTAGCACTAGCTCAGGTCAGCGTTTCGTTACCTGGACGGCTCGTGTGAAAAACAGTCCGGCACCGGAGGCTAATTTCTTCACGTTAAAATCCATTTTATTTGGACCAGCTAGCTACTGATGTGACACTGGAAGCAGACTACTCGATACCAACTGTTGTGGCATACATCAGAAATCACGTGACCACCGCGGACGAGGGGTCTTAAAGCGGAAATGAAACATGCATGTTTTTGGCACTGGTAGTGAGGAAATTTATTAGAAAAACCAACTTGCCTAAAATCTGATATTAAAAATTGTGAAAATACAAATCTGACTAATTTATTTTCGTAGTTTCTTATTGATAGCTAACTAGCGAGCAGCCATTTTGGTGTGACGTCATTGCCTACGTAACGGGGTTGGTTGGGTGCGTTGGCCAGTGAAGACAGTGAAGCATTTCTGAACCGAGTTAAACTGGAAATGGAGGACGACGAAGTTGAAGGGACTGTTGAGGCCGTGATTAGTCTGCTTGCGTATGCATTCGAGCCCATACGGCGGGGGAACCGAGCAGTGATAGCGTTGCCGGTGGAAGAAGTCGTGGAGCCGGTCGTTTGGGGTGAAGAGCGGGTCGGCAACACTACCTGGTGTCGGTGTGGCGGTTGTCCGCCGATGCCCACCGTGTCAGAGTCCATGCTGTCAGGAGGCTGGTCTGGAGCACGTTTTGCGTGGTCATTCCTGCATCACCGTGGAGTGTACATTCAGCATACTATGCCGGGAGGTGGACGTGTTGGAGGTGGCAATGCTGTCACTGAAAGATGTCCGAGCTGAATCACTGGAGCGCCCTGTCAATAGCAGGTAAGTCGAGCTAGCTGTAACCGCCGGTGAATATGCAGTAAAGTTAAATAAAACAAATACACGCTACATGGTGCGAACAATTTTTTCCATGTGCAGTTTGTTTACATAGTTGTTTTCTGACCGTCAAGTTTTTTGTTTAATGTCGCTCCCCCAGTACTAATTACTAGCTAAACCCTAGTTAGCTGATTGACGCTAACAGCTGTTACCAAAAACAATGACGGTACCGAACGTTAGTTCGGGGGTTCACAGGTTCACATATAGCGGTCTAGGTTACATACCGCTAATGGTGAACGAGCCAGTGTGATGCAAAACATGTCTGAGAGGTCTGACATGATAATGCCACATGACCGCTTTCTATGTTAGTTTGTTTACGTTACATTGCACAGAATGTTATGAAACCAACGTTTTGTTGGCTATTCAGACATTCAGCCGGGTTCATCATCAATAAGTTTTGTTTGAGATCATCAATACACAGAAAGCGTATTCCGGAATCTGAAAGAAATGATTCACAATTTTGTAATTTATAGGAGATATGGAATAATACATATATTATACATACAAGTGGATATGAAGCAGTCAATCAAGTTAACATGATTTACTGAATGAATTTCCATTCTAATCAACAATTATATAACATACATGACAAAATGTAAACATAAAAGAAAATAGAAGCCCCATTATATCTGTTATGGCAACAGACAGCTAGTTTATGAACTTATTAATTTTGATACTGCATGAATAGCAAAAGGATCTGGAGAGGGAATGTATGAATTCATGTGGAATAAATGTATGAATAAAAAGTTAATGCATGCACACTTACTCTGAGCCACAGAAGTTTAATAATATCGAACAGACATTTTATATATAAACATATCAGATTTGTCATCCCATATATCAGAATATATTGAAAGCTAACTAATACATTTCTTTTTCATCAGTCTCTTTAGGTTGACTGCATACAGGCAGTTTACCCTTTGGGCCAGGGGCCATTTGGGGAAGAAGAACCGGATCCCGATTCCAGCCTGTGTCGTCAGCGCCATTAGGGCTGTTTTCCCCTCCCCGGAATATCGTGGCTTTGAGTACGCCTACATTTATGATGATTTTTAAGTGTTAGATATGATTTACTTTAATATTTTATGAATTGTTTTTATTTTATTGTTTTGCTGTTCTAATAAATATTTGAAGGTTTACTATCATTTTAAATAATTATAATTATTATAGTGATTTAATGACAAGAGCTTCTCTGACACTGAACTGAGCTCAGACTTGCACTGATATTATTATTGTGGGAATTTCACACTCATCATTGCTGCCTCCAAGAAAGACTTATTCCAGGTGGGATAGAGAGACTGAACTATATAATATAATATATAATATACATAGGTGATTTGAACAGTAAACAGAGATTGGAGACTGGATTAGAATCTCAAAAAAGAATCTAAAAATACAAATGTAATACAACAACAATAATAATAATGCTTGTTAAATCAAAAGAACATTCTACAGGGTTCATACAGTAATGGAAATCCATAGAACTCTGAATTTGAACATTTATTTTGTCAAAATTAATTGTGATATACAATCATGGAACAATTATGGAATTTCATTTTTCAAAATGTATAGGAACCCTGTGTGAGTGATTTCATCAGTCACTTTAACTGGTTAACTAATCATTTAGTGGTTTTTTTAGTGGTTTTCTTTCTGCTCTTCCTCAGTGAGCTGTGTTACGGGGCTGTGAGGATGCAAATCTGCTCAGATATTTGGCAACAGACAGAGCTTTGTCTGGTTTTTCCACACCTTTGTGCTGGGCCAGGGTGATAAGAGTCTCAGTCTTCAGCTCCTGCAATGCTGCCCGGATGGATGTTGAGTTGCACCTTTTGATCACTCCTGCCACAATGTTCTTCCTGAAGGTATAATCCTTGTCCACCTTCAGTGGGGTCACCACATACTGTTGAGCAGCCTTGGAGTACTGGTGCTTATGTTGCTCCTCACCTTCCTTTGTTGTAGCTATCTCCCTGTTCACATTATTGTTGTAATCCAGTGCAGCAACACGCAGACGTGACTCCAAACTCTCCCTCAGAAATTCTTCCTTTTTGTGGCGTACTTTGTGTACAGGGAGTGGAGACTTTCCAGCTGTCCCGTGTGAATGCCCAGTGTAGTCTTTTCCAGTTTCTTCAGGAACTGTTTGTCAAGCACTATCTTCTGCAGGTCCTGAAAGGCAGCAGAGCTAGGGAGGAGCCATGGGCGCTGACTCTGTTCTTCAGGAGTGTAGGTAGGGTGCGCACACTTGGTCATTGTCTCACCAGACACCCAGTGGTGCACATTTGTAATGTGATGCAGGATTGAGATCCACTTCTCTTTTAACTTTGTCACACTTCCCTCACATGTTGTGACACAAAACCAGAAGTGATTTGTGATCATTCTGATCCACTCAAACAAGTCCTCGTTGTGGCACTGCAGCAGTCGTTTTTTGACGGACTTCACGATGTGCCAGAGGTCATATTCATGCTGTATGCTTTTATGTTCCAGACGCATGACTTTCTGCACAGATGGGTGGCAGTTGGTTGCCAGAACAGATATGGTCATATCATACTCTCTCAACTTGGAAAGGCACCTCTCCAGACCATCCACCTCAAGCCAATAGCTGTTCTTCACCTCTGTGACTTTTACAGTTTCCTGTGCCACCACCAACTTTGACTTGATGTCCATGAGCAAGTAGGTTCCATATGAAGCATTGTGACCCGGGCTATCATATCTGGAGTCTCCTGACATGATTAGCAGCTCATCGCATAAGGCACTCAGTACAGCCTCATTGTGTACTGTCCAGGCACTGCTGATCTCTGGGATGACATAGGCCTTCTGTATGTTGAACCACTGTATTTTTGAGATGGTTTCCAGACCAATGGTGTCACACACCTCCATGAATGGACTGCACTCGTTTCCAGTGACAAATACAGCAGCAGGGACAGAAACATTGCATTCCATTATTCCTCTAACTAAAGGCTGGGAAGGCCACATCATGGCCATCAATGCATTCCGTCTTAATCCTAAACCCAAATCCACTTTTGATCACTGTTGGTGGCCTCACTAAACATTTGCCACAACCTTCCTGTTGGCACACATGAAAGAGCTTCAACAATTCTCTTGTCGACACAATACTTTTTCCCTCTTGTGAAACATTTAGTTCCTCATCCTCAACATCACTGACACTTTGAGCCTCATCACTGATGCTTCCCTCACTACTCAACTCAAACTCATCATCACTGGCATTATCTTGACCCTCTTCCATTAAGCTTTCTTCCTCAGACTCTTCACATCCCTCACTGCTAAGGTCGAGATCTTGCTGAGATGATGGTGCCCTAGCTGGGGACATGCCTTCCACAGATGTACTGTATGAATGGTCATTGTTTATTACTCGGTTGGTAAGTATGTCATCTGTCAAAGTGCCTGTGCAAATGTATTGTTTATTGCCTCCCTCTTCTGTATCCTTTTCAAAAGCATCAGTCTGGGTGCTGACACTGATTGTCAGGGTGCGGACTCTGCCTGTCTCCTGCTCTATCTCCTCACTGATGTCAGCCTCTGGGAGTTTACTGCTGGCCACTAGTTGCATGCATGTCTGCCTAACCTGTAAACACAAATTTGTTTTTAGGTACACAATGATGTTGACAGCATGAAAGACTTTGTACTTACATCCTGACTACTGAATTAAAGTATCATATACCTAAACACTTTTTGTTGTGTTATTCTTACAATAACCATGCATAGAAAACTACCCAATGTTTCCTGTATTTTGTTGCAGTGGTGGTTGGGGGTAATAGTTTTTGGTTCAATGTTCATACCAGTTGTGGCTGTAGTGCTGGTTGAATGACTAAAATTACTTTTATTTGGTGTTGGAGATGTTGAACAAAATTATGATGTTAATATCACATTTCTTGTAGAAGCCAGAAACAAATGTCACTACTGTGTTTTTGTCACTGACCTGACATCTTTTCTCTCTAGTGCCTATTTTTCCACCTGCCTTGCACTAATATACAGTGTATTATAGTATATTAGAGTATATTAACACCATTGAACAGTGTATAATCAGTAAATAGTATATTATGGTTATATCTAGTAGTGATTTATGTCAAGTGGCTGCTTTTAATTTTTAATTTCCTCTCGGGATTAATAACGTTATCTATCTCTCTGTCTAACCCTAACCCATCCATAGGTACATAGTTACTAGAACTAGTTTTTATAGTCATCTGTCATGAAGTGGCGTTATTGCAGTCCAGGACCAAAAGAGGGCTCCAGTGCAATTTGAATAGTATCTAAAATACGTAAATTTCAGTAAAAGGCGAAACATTTCCTTATGCATAAATATATTATTTTGCCTACTGTCGCTTCTATTGGTTCATATTGCTGATTTATTATTGTTATGGTCATGTTGGTCATGAATA